AGTGGCGCTGCAATCTTTTGACTACTCAAATATTTTACGTTTTTGATACTAAATTAACTTCTGAAGTATAATTTTTTATTGTTTTTATATTTTTCAATATATTTATTTTGTTTGTACAAAATAAAAAAGTAATTTTTAACGATACAATAGTCTTTGTTAGGCTTAACATCGACGAAAATTCAACGCGAAGCGACACGCAACGGAGAAAAATGTCAAGATGGGATAAATTAATATATTTTATCGTACATAGTCGGTTATCCGAAACATCGATGTTCCGAGCAACCCCAGTCCCCAATTGATTCGGATAATCGACGCTCTACTGTATATAATACTCATATCTTTTCTTCAGGAAAACCGGAACAGCAGGAAAAAATCATTTATCCGAAGATACATTGACCTATTAGCAGATGGTCTTCATTTGAAGTATGTTTTTTTTAATACAGTATACATAAATCGTATTGGATGTGTTAATTTTATCTTACTTGCTTCATTTTAGGTTTAAAAATCACACTTTGGATAGACCAGGTAATAAATCTATAGGCAAAATTGTACAGTTTTATTAAGTATTTCGATAATTTAATTTTATTTATTAGGCAGACATCGCCATCTCTGGCAGTAATATCAGAAAAACTTACGTGTCTTATTCATCTTCTGTAATTCACATTCCAACTACATTTGCGATACGTGCTGCAAGACCTTTAGATAAAACTCTTATTTTGCTGAAACCATTCGATGTAATGGTAATGTTTCGAAATTTTTTAATTTTTTCTATAAAGAGCATATTTTAAACTATACGAATTGAAATTTAAAACGAAAAAAACTATTAAATATTTTATAATATATTAGATTGACTGATTGGTGAAATAAAGCAATGCAACACGTTAGCTAACTGTCAACGAAAATATGCCGTCAGGAAAGACATTTTTTGTTCTATTTAACACATAAATATAAAAATCTTCGTATTAATTCAACGTGTTAGACAGAAGAAAATCAGGAACAACGCGGTAAAACCTTGGCAAGTAATAAATATGAATTTAACTACAAAAGTTCAGTGTTGTCACCTATTTGTCCACGCGATGTGTTGTAACCCAGCAATGGGCTACAACACATCGCATGTCAAACATTTCGACAGGAAAGACATTTTTGTTCTATTTAACACATAAATATATAAAAATCTTCGTATTAATTCAACGTGTTAGACAGAAGAAAATCAGGAACCACGCGGTAAAACCTTGGCAAGTAATAAATATGAATTTAACTACAAAAGTTCAGTGTTGTCACCTATTTGTCCATGCGATGTGCTGTAGCCCAGTAATGGGCACAACACATCGCATGCCAAATATTTCGAAAGGAAACATATTTTTAATGTAATGTGCAATAAAAAATCGAGAAATTTTAAATTTTTATAATTACTGCAAAAAATGCCTACGATTTAGTTCTTAATAATTTTTAAAGATTTCAAAATAATATACTTTATGACCTCTCAACATCGGCCATTTTAAGAAACATGTAAACAAACATTCTATTAAATGGTCATTGTTTGGAAGATATTTTATATACAAAAAAATACACTTCTGAACAAAATGCTGCAATTTCCAGACTGTCGTTATTGCAGGGTTGACTGTATTATAAAATCATTCATATTTTAAAAAGTGCAAAATACACTAGAGCATCGATTATCCGAAAGTCAATCATCCGAAAGAATTCCAGTCGGCAATTTTAAATTTTCGCCGGTGCTGTGACGCTGCAATCTTTGGCTATGTCTTGGGCTACTCAAATATTTTACGTTTTTAATACTAAATTAACTTCTGAAGTATAATTTTTTATTGTTTTTATATTTTTCAATATATTTATTTTGTTTGTACAAAATAAAAAAATAATTTTTAACCATACAATAGTCTTCGTTATGCTTAACATCGACGAAAATTCAAGAAAAATGTCAAGATTGGATAAATTAATATATTTTTTCATACATAATCGGTTATCCGAAACATCGATCTTCCGAACAACACCAGTCCCCAATTGATTCGGATAATCGGCGCTCTACTGTATTTATAAATTACAGTAAAACCTCATTATTTCAAAACTCAAGAGACTGAAAAATATTCACTGTGCCAATGAAAAAAGGCATTTTTACATTCTAGTCGTGCATTCAGCCAGGCTTCAAGACGATCGTTTGGCGAGGGCAGTTACTGAATATAATTAGAACTTACTACTCACAGACGCTTCTTGTGGTGGCTTATTCAGATTAGTTTTTTGGTTCCGCAGAGCTATAAGCTTATGTGTTATCTTTATCGGGTTATAGAGTTAGTTGAATTTAAGCAATGCAACACAGTGGTGATTTGCCAAGGAGAAAATCTCTTCAGGAGAACTTTCCACGAGGAACTGTTTTTTAAATACATGTAAATTTTTTTGAAATTCCAAAAAACACCATACAATCAGCCTATTAAGAAAGTATAAAACATGTCCGAATAACTTTGCTTAATGGTTTATCCACTCGCCTGCAATGGGCTTTTTCTACTGGATTACTAGTAAGTCCAATTCCAGTCAATGTTATACAGCCTTACAAATTTTCTGTACGCTTCGTTCAACGGATACAGAAAAAGATTGCAAAAGAAAAATTTACTTTAATATACTGTAATTTGCAAAAGGGGACTTTCCATTTATTAATTGAAAATTTCGCAACCTTGATAAGCCAATACTTAAAAGATGGTATTATACTGCATGTGCGAACCATAACAAAGACTAATTACAATCATACGTATACTGACAGATTACCTACATGAATTATTAGATTACGGCAATAAGTCATACATTAAATAATATTCTATTTATTAGTAATCATCTTTTCTAAAAGGCATTCTTATTGGGAAAAGTATAAATGAGATTTTATAGTGTTTAAAAAATTATACGATAGTGTAACTTTTTTGTAATAAAAAGCTGTGGAGTTTTATTTTCCTCTTCAAAATTTTTTCTTCATTCTTGCATAGTTTGTATATAAATTTTCCTGCAAATCCGGTTATTTGTTACAGTTATTGTGTTCTCTGATTATAAAAATTTTTACTATGGCCACCTGTGTAAATGAAAATTTTCTAAATCTTCAGGCAACAAAATACAGTTGTTTTATTGTCATCCAGAGATGTGCTAAGCACACTATGACATTGTTGAAAGCGCTCGACATAGCTGAAACACACCATATTCTGAATATTTTCTAAAATCTTTTGATCATTTTTTCTTTATATTTTCTATATATTTTCGTTGCCTCTTTCTTTATATTGGCCATTGCTTTTATCAAAAGTAACTTGCTTTATAACAAGTTTACTTCACATTTGTGAACGAAATAAGATATAATATTATTAAGCTCACTTCTTATTATTATTACTGTAATTATGTATTATTAACATATTTAATTAATTATTTATTTTCTAAAATTGTTATTATTATTAAATGTTTCAGTGCAAAGATTATAAAATGACTTCCTGTAATACGTATAATAGAACACAAATAACTGAAAATAAATCATTAATACCACGGAGCATATCCTTTGGTATCGATATCGTAAGTATAGTTAGATCTACCGTCTAATTATTCAATAGTAAAATAACTTTCTAATGAAAAGATTTCTGTTTCAACCAGCGATAATACGCTTTAAAAAGTATTGTGTTTTGTCTAATCCAAAGTTTAAACTTTTTCTTTGCGTTAAACTATTAAACAATTACAGTGAAATATAAACCAAACTTACAAAGAATAATATTTTAAAATACAGTAAAGCGTCGATTATACGAAAGTCAATCATCCGAAACGTCAATTATCCGAAAGAATTCCAGTCGACAAATTTAAATTTTCGCTAGTGCTGTGGCGTTGCAATCTTTGGCTATGTCTTCGGCTAGTCAAATATTTTACGTTTTTGATACTAAATTAACTTCTGAAGTATAATTTTTTATTGTTTTTATATTCTTCAATATATTTATTTTGTTTGTACAAAATAAAAAAGTAATTTTTAACGATACAATAGTCTTTGTTAGGCTTAACATCGACGAAAATTCAACGCGAAGCGACACGCAACGGAGAAAAATGTCAAGATGGGATAAATTAATATATTTTATCGTACATAATCGGTTATCCGAAACGTCGATCTTCGGAACAACCCCAGTTTCCAATTGATTCGGATAATCGA